TGATTTTATCCACTCTTGACAGAGGAAGGAACTAAAGATGAAGTGGTGGCCAGGTCACTAGGCTAGTTGGGGACAGAGTGGGGAAAGACAGACTTTCTGACCCAGGCTCTGTCCACTATACCACCACATTCCCTGGCTCAATAAATAAATACTGTTAGAGAAGGTTGCTTAATACAAACTGCACATTATTCTACTTTGACAGATGAGTAATCCTCAGCGATGAATTCCTTTTTCTGAAAGTTCAGATCTTTGGTTCATCAGTTTTTGAGCCATTTGTAGGATCAACAGGGTTAGGCAGAAGATACTTGCAACTTTTCATAATTAGAAAAACTGGAGAGTGGGTTTTCCTTTTTCTTTTCAACTTAAAAAAGCCAAGTAGATAATATGTTAAGCTCTCTTTGACCTAAGACACTTTTCCTAAAAACCACGAGCCTTTGTATACATTTAGCAACTATGACTAAGCAACTCCCTCTTTCAATTACATATGTCTATATTAAGTATTATTGCCGTGTTTGTGGAAAAGATTCATTTAGACTTTTTCCCCTCTTCAAAAAATTAATGTATCTACTATTACTGAAGTAGCTCATTTCTATTTTAGAGTTTTAATATTCATGTAATAAGAAAAAAATTTTATCAGTACAGAAGAGTATAAAATAAATGTGATCTCTAAACCACTCCAGCCCAGCCTGATGCTCTCCATACAGGCATCGTTAACAGCTCCTGCTGTTATGTCATGTAGCAGTTACTATTATAATTTAAAAGAATATGTTTACAGCTCTGTTTCTCAATTTATCAGCTTTGGAAAGTGTCTACTGACTTCCATCTATGAAAGATAAGGAAAAATATTTATACTTGCTCCCAACTTCTCTACCTCCTAATTTTTTTTTTTAAGGATTTTATTTATTTATTTGAGAGAGGCAAAGAAAGAAAGAGAAAGAGAGCGCGGCGAGAGGGTCAGAGGGAGAAGCAGACTCCCTGCTGAGCAGGGAGCCCAATGCGGGGCTTGATCTGGGGACTCTGAGATCACGACCTGAGCCGAAGGCAGATGCTTAACCAACTGAGCCACCCAGGTGCCCCTCTACCTCCTAATTTGTGTTAGTTATATTATATATAATTCAGTTGTATTTCTAATTTTTCTAAAAACTATAATTTAAATTATTCTTTGTAACTTTAAATAATACCCAAACTTCTACTTCTGGATTTATTTATTTAGATAAGATGCTCTTGATTCCCAGTTACGTAAGAGGGTCTACTTCTAAGTTTTTGTTTTATGGATAGATTTACACATAGACATCCCTCCATATATACGTGGTCATGGTTTACTATATTTATATTCGGCTCTGTAATTATAATTAAGTCTTCGGAAGATTAAAAGAGTTAATCCATATAAAGCGCACAGCACAGTGCCAGGCACATAGGTCATCCGTAGCCACCAGCTGTTAGGAACAACTGAGTAGTGTAGAGGAACCTCAGTTGAGAAGGAAATGTAATGTCATTTAATTGAAATTTTGCGGCTCAAGTGAGATTCTTCTCAACCTGAAGAACTAATAGATCCTTCCTCCCTCTTGCCCTTTCCTCCTTTTCCTGCTTTCTTCACTTCCTTTGGGTCATACTCAGATGGCATTGCTTCTTGTTTTCTTTCTTGGATTACTTGTTGGATTACTTCTGTGAGCTCTGGTTTTGTTTTGTACAGGAAGTAAGCTTTCTAAATCTTGAATGTCTAAAAATGGTCTTTTTTTAGCCCTCAAATTTGCTTAGTAGTTTGGCCAAGTTTAGATCCATCTGTTTCCCCTCAGAACCTGGAATACATTCTGCTAATGACTCACCAGGGAAGGACTTTGGTCTGTTTGGTTCCCTGATACATCACAAGCACCTAGAACAGTGTCTAGCACGCAGTATATACTCTCTATACATTAGTTTTATGAATGATCTTCTAGTGACTAGTACTGCTGAAAAGAAATTGCAATGATAGTCTGATTATTGTTCTTTTATTGGCCCTCTCTTTGGAAGCATTCAGGGTTTTCTTTTTGTTCTTAGAAATTCTAAAATTTCGTCCACAATAGCCAAACTGTGGAAAGAGCCAAGATGCCCATCGACAGATGAATGGATAAAGAAGATGTGGTATATATACACAATGGAATATTATGCAGCCATCAAAAGGAATGAGATCTTGCCATTTGCAACGACGTGGATGGAACTGGAGGGTGTTATGCTGAGTGAAATAAGTCAATCAGAGAAAGACATGTATCATATGACCTCACTGATATGAGGAATTCTTAATCTCAGGAAACAAACTGAGTGTTACTGGAGTGGTTGGGGGGGGGAGGGATGGGGTGGCTGGGTGATAGACATTGGGGAGGGTATGTGCTACGGTGAGTGCTGTGAATTGTGCAAGACTGTTGAATCACAGATCTGTACTTCTGAAACAAATAACGCAACATATTTTAAGAAAAAAGAAAAAGAAGATAACAGGAGGGGAAGAAAAAGGGGGGGAAAATCGGAGGGGGAGATGAACCATGAGAGACGATGGACTCTGAAAAACAAACTGAGGGTTCTAGAGGGGAGGGGGGTGTGGGGATGGGTTGGCCTGGTGATGGGTATTAAAGAGGGCACATTCTGCGTGGAGCACTGGGTGTTATGCACAAACAATGAATCATGGAACACTACATCAAGAACTAATGATGTAATGTATGGTGATTAACATAACAATAAAAAATTTTTTAAAAAGTGTAGCTGAATATGGGGGCGCCTGGGGTGGCTCAGTCACTTAAGCATCTGACTCCTGATATCAGCTCAGGTCATGATCTCAGGGTCGTGAGTTCAAGCCCTGGTTGGGCTCCACACTGAGTGTAGAGCCTATGTGAAGCCTACTTAAAAAAAAAAAAAAAAAATTTTTATTAAAGGTGTAGCTGAATATGAACTCATACGGAAGATGAATTATAAATTTTATAGAATATATATTTTACATAAATTACCAATGAGTTCTTTCCCTAAATTAGTCATTCTTAACCACGTTATAGATCTGAACCCTGTGCAACTTTTACAATTCTACCTGCACAACTTCATCTCTCCCTGTACTATTTAGGATGGAACGTAGACGTTTGCATTTTTTAAAGTTCTGGAGAGGTTCTGAAACTCAGTCCCAGCAAAGAACCACTACATTAGACTAAAAAACTCCTTAAAATTAGAATTGTATCAACTATTTCTGGGACAGGTGTTCACATAGGAAGGACATCTCTTAGGGAAAATGGTAGAAAGGAAAAAGCCCAAGGTTTGGGAGTTAGAGACTTGAGTCCTAGACCTCCTACCTGCTCCATGTATGACCCAGGGAAAATTAATTTCTCTGAACCTTACTTTTTTCATCTATAAAATAGAAGTTTAAAAAACAAATCTAGTTCTTAAAGTTGTTACAAGAAGAGATAACATATGCTGGAATGTCATATGCACTCAAATGGGAGCTATTATAATTTACCCTGAAACTGACGTTAGATTTAAGAATTCAGCAAATATGATGCACTGTCAACTCTGGACAAAATCTACTCTGTGAGGTAACTGAGCAAAAACTCATAATCTCATACGGGAGAGAGGCATTCTCCCTAAAAAGGAAAACTGTGATGAGCATTAACACAGGCATATTTATTATAAAATGGGAAAACAGACGAGGAGAAATAATTCTGATGTGGAAAGGGCTCTTAAAAGTGCAATGTGAACAGTACCTTGAAAGAACGTTAGGTATACTCCTTGGGCCTTACTGCAAACCAATGGTTCTCAAACATTAACATACATCAGAATCTCACAGGGGACCTGTTAAAACACACATTGCTGGGCCCTACCACAGCCTTTCGGACTCAGTAGGTCTGGAGTGGGGCCTCAGGATCTGCATTTCCCAAGTGACACTGATGCTAATGGTAAAAGGAACCCCCTTTGAGAACCACCACTCCAGAGAGAGAGAGAGAGAGAGCTTGAGCAAAACTGCCAAGTGAGAGACTGCGTATCCCTGAGCTGTAAGAAGGCAGTTTCTGGGACACCTGCTTTGTGTGAGTGGATAAAGAATATGGTCAGATCTAGACATAAATACTTTCTAACTAAAACACTTCCTTCTCTAACAAGAGGCAGATAAACTGCCCTTCCAAGGAAGGAGAAAGGACATTCAAGACTCTGTATGGTAACGCAGGTTAGCTGGACGTGTTGCGGTGACCATTTTGCAATACATAAGAAATATCAAATCAGTATGTGATACACCTAAAACTAATATAATGTTAAATGGCAATTACAGCTCAATAAAAATAAAATTTAGAAAAAGAGTAAGCAAAATAAAACACACTTAAAATCATGCAATAGCTCTATCAATACAAGAAAACACCAGTCAAACCCAAATTGAGGGATACATTTTATAAAACAACATACCAGTACTTTTCGAAAGCATCAAGGTCATGAAAAATAAGAATGGACTAAGGAAAAAAAAAAAAAAAAAAAAAAAGGACTAAGGAAATGTCACAGACTGAAGGGGACTACAGAGAAAGATTACCTAAATGCAACATGGGCTCTTACGTCGAATCCCAAAACAAAAGACAGTCATAGGAAAATTCTATTAAGTCTAGAGTTTTTGAGTTATTGAACCAACATTAATTTCTGCATTTTGATTATTATACCACAGTTAAGTAAACTGTTAATAGTAGGGGAAGCTTAGTAAAGATTATACAGGAAAATTCTTTTCTCTACATCGAAGATATTTCCAAATATAAAGTTAAAACCAAAAAACTAAGCCAAAACTAACTACTCTTCCATGATATGACATTCATTATCTCTAACCTGGTGTCTTTCAACTCCAGTTGCTACTCCCAGCTTAGTGGCACACAAGTCATCATCGGTAAGGTAATGAGGCAAGAGACTTCGGGGCACACAGTTAATTCAATGTACAAAGAAGAGAAACGCAGTGTCACTCATGTTCTTTATAAATGAGAATTTAACACTGACACATCCGGAATTTTAATATTTTACTTAGCATGCTAAAGGTTAAAATTCTGCAAAAAACCCCCCAAAAGTTCCTATTTAATGGTCTCACTTATAAATTTTAAGGAATGTTCCATACTCACCAAAACCATCAATATCTAGGTTATTTTCAATCACAACATCTAGTAGAGAGTCACCAACTTTTCCTTTGGCTGTTAATGTCTCACCGTCACGGTTTACAAAGTGGACTGTTATTTTATCTTCTGAGCTGGAAAAGGAAGCAGTCCTTCATTATTTTTAATAATTTCAAGGGATACTTTAAAATAATTGTTTTCAGAACTTATAAGGTCAAAGAAAATAGGATGTGCATGTATGGAGGCACACCCACACACACAAATATGTTTTTTTATAGTATTTTCTTTCCTTTCCAAAGTTTGAGAAGAAGACATCACAAAGCAGAGGCATGTCTATCTCTCCATCTACCAGAGAGGAAGCTCTACCTACCACCTTAAAGGAAAGAGCATCCACACCCCTATCAAGGCCACCTGCTGTGCCTTGGGTCACGGTCATAGGTCACGGTCACAGGTCACAGTCATGTGAAAACATTTAGCAATCCTCATCAGTCAGGAAATCTATGTTGCTGTAACACAGCCCTCTGAAAAGCAACGTCTCTATGGAGTGTCCCTAAAAGACGAGACCCTGGTTGTGGAGAGCGGTAGAAAGGCCCATCATTCTGTGATCAGTAAGACACCTGTTGTGCAGGTGTCCGGTAGGTACTGCTGCCGGGAGGCAGTGGTCCGATCGTTTTCTGAGCATTTAAACATCTCACTTTGGTCCACACCATGTACTCAAAAACCAAAGGGACTAGCATAGATTTGTATTTGTTTCAATCAATGGGAAAATAAATATAATGCCTCCTTACGTGTTTTATTATAGGATATTATATTATCCAGAGTTAGCGCATGACTGACTTAAATTTCTTTCCCTTCTCACAATTTGGGAGAAGAAATTATATTAGCAACTAGATGCTTGTCATCTACCACTGGTCATTTTTAATTTTTACCTCACAACTGAAAAGATACACTTCAGCTAAAATAATTAGTTGTAATTTTCACTACTGCCAATAGATGGTAATAATCCAGCAAAGAAAACTTTAATGTAAGTAATAACCTAGAATTACATAATCCCAAATTATCAAGTAAATTATCTTATTTAACAAATGAGGCAAGTGAAAGCCCCTTTCAGATAATGCCCTCCCTGATAATTCGATGCTGGAAAAAGAGAATTCTGAGAATTAAAAATTATCAACTCTGTGTGTGTGTCTAAGAGAGAAAGAGAGAGGGAGGGAGAATGTCCCTCCAAAAGGGCCTGTGCTCTCCAACTTCTTTTCACAGCCAAAAAATACTTTAGAAATAAGTACTCCTGAACATTATTCATCATTTTCAACTAGATAACTGCCATCTCTTCAAGGCAGAATGGCTGCGAATGAAGATACTCTGGAGGCAGGGGTGGACCCCACTTTGGAGGTTATTAAAAGAATACAAAGAAAGAACGTAGGAGACACTGACCTCAGAGATACTCAGGAGGCAGAAATAGAAGGTTTTGTTGACCATCTATACAAGGTAGATTGGGAAAGAGGGAAAAAACAATGTTGAAATCTGCAGCTCAGGCAATGAGGGGATCCAGTTTAACCTAGAGTTAACAGAGATGGAGCAGCTTTGGGGAAGATGGAAATGAGTTCCAGTCTAAACCTGTTTTGAGTTCAAAGAAAAAAACCAGAGGAGAATGTCCAGAAGCCAGATGGAAATATGGGTGTGAGCCCAGCACTTCAGTCTAGGGATCTGACGTGCACAAACGCCCGGGAGCTAAAGCTGCAGGAAGGACGAGAGCAAGAATCCCATCATGTATGTGCACCACTGAAAGCCAGGGGTTTTACGACTGCTCTTCTGGATCATTCTACAGCTAAGCTTACAGCACAGAAATCTCTGATATCAGACCCCTCTTCTGTAAAATCAGGGTAACATTCATATTCTAATTTTAACAATGGAGGCAAAATACCTAATGCAGAGGAGCACAGCACTCAACAAACACAGATTAATAAACTTTAAGGCCTCAGTCCTTTTGTTCCGAAGAAGCCTAAAACTGCTGTGTATTATGAGTGTACAGTCCCCAGAAAAAACTGCAGAGAGCAATGAAAGGTTTGCCAAAGGACCGAAGAGGACGCAGAAATGAGAGAGGAAGGGTGATCCGCAGCTGACCCGAGTATGGGATGTAAAGACGGTGGGAAGCCACTTACTTCCCGGCGGGGGGGGGGGGAGATGGGGACAACAGTGACTTCACCAAGCGGCTGAGACAATCAAAGTCTATGGAAACTTTGTTCCTTAAAGCATTATACACATGTATGTTACCCAAATAACTTTCTCCGTTTGCTATTAGTAATTAGTATTGGTGGGTTTTATATCTCCCCCCCCTAATTCTGAGAACTAGCCAAAAGCACTGAGCGGTTCCCCAGGGTAAGATTTCATGCCCTGAGAAATACAATCCTTCTAAATCTTCTACCATCATCAATTAATCAGCACCACACGCAACTCTTTTCTTCACTTGTTACCTTTTCCTACTGTCATTTATTCTGCTCAACCACAGCAGGTATTTTAAGGAAGCTGTCAGGGTGCTCACCATAGCACATACCCTCCCCCATGTCCATCACCCAGCCACCCCGTCCCTCCCATCCCCCACCACTCCAGCAACCCTCAGTTTGTTTCCTGAGATTAAGAATTCCTCATATCAGTGAGGTCATATGATACATGTCCTTCTCTGATATACTGTTAAAAAAAGAATGAAGATAGTAGGAAGGGAAAAATGAAGGGGGGAATCGGAGGGGGAGACGAACCATGAGAGACGATGGACTCTGAGAAACAAACTGAGGGTTCTAGAGGGGAGGGGGTGGGGGATGGGTTAGCCTGGTGATGGGTATTAAAGAGGGCACGTTCTGTGTGGAGCACTGGGTGTTATGCACAAACAATGAATCATGGAACACTACATCAAGAACTAATGATGTAATGTATGGTGATTAACATAACATAATAAAAAAAAAAGGGGGGGAAGCTGTCAGGGGTGGCGGTGATAAAGTTCGTAACAGACTTCCCCAGGGAGGGAAGTAATAGCTGCTCATGCCCACCTTTTCACCATGGGGGGGCCTGGGGCACTTGGTCCAAGGAAAGGGCCCCTTCTAGGGCTCCCTACTTCCATAACCACCTTAACTCTTCCAAATGACTCTATGGACTAAAGAATTATCAACTCTTACAGTGCTCAAGAAAACAAGCGAAAATGACTTGAGTTGTATTCCTAGTATGCCAACTACTTGACACGAAATTTTTATTCCCTACCCCACCTACCTCCCAGGATTTTCTTGAGAGTGAAGTACAATTTTTGTGAAAGCCCTGTGGAACCTAAATCACTACGAAACATAAAGTATTTTGTCAGCATATTTTGGAGCAAAAGGAGTTTTTTCAACTCTCAATTACTGATGACTTAGCTACTAGCTAAGTTAAACTTGTTTAACTTAAACATGTTAAACTTCCCGAGACGGGACTACAGCCTCCAGGCTGCTCTGTTCAATGGAACTTTCTGCACTAGCAGAGATGTTCTGTACCTGCAATGTCCAGTACAGTAGCTACTGGCCCCACGCGGCTGTTGAGCACTTGACATGCGGCCACTGCAAATGGAATACTGATTCTTTTCACTGTATTTAACGTACGTTATCTTAAATAGCCACATGTGGTTAGTCATATCCAAACTGGAAAACACAAGCCTCAGATACTATGAGTTGGAAAATCTAGTTGCAGCTCCAAAGTCTGTAATACAAGGCACAAGGCCATCCATTGAAACTGTGTCAATGAGGAGGAAAGCAGGATCATGAGGGAATGGAACAGATGTGCTTCCCTCTGACACAACTTGATAATAACCAAGTTCAAACTTAATAAATTTGGGGGACGTAATACCCATTTACAAAAGCACTCATTTTCTTTAAATACTAGTTTCGTAAATATGCTCAATATATGTCCCAATTTATACACGATTTTTCAAGAATGCACCCATTGCAGAAAGCAAGACATATGCATGTAGAGAGGTCAAGGCAGGGAAATGTCAGGGAAATAGGGACAAATAAATCTGGCTTGCCTTCTCCACTATCTCCCTCACAGTCCGCGCAACAAAAATTTATTTTTTTTTTCTAAAGATTTTTTATTTATTTATTTGACAGAGAGAGACAGCGAGAGCAGGAACACAAGCAGGGGGAGTGGGAGAGGGAGAAGCAGGCTTCCCGCCGAGCAGGGAGCCTGATGTGGGACTCGATCCCAGGACCCTGGGATCATGACCTGAGCCGAAGGCAGACGCTTAACGACTGAGCCACCCAGGCGCCCCAACAAAAATTTATTGAGCACACACTACATAATAGGATGAAGGGGAAAAGATGATTAAGTCGTGGCCTCTGTTCTTGGAGACCTTATCAAGAAGAAACCAGGGCGCCTGGGTGGCTCAGTCGTTAAGCGTCTGCCTTCGGCTCAGGTCATGATCCCAGGGTCCTGGGATTGAGTCCCACATCGGGCTCCCTGCTCGGCGGGAAGCCTGCTTCTCCCTCTCCCACTCCCCCTGCTTGTGTTCCTGCTCTCGCTGTCTCTCTCTGTCAAATAAATAAATAAAATCTTAAAAAAAAAAAAAGTCTGATAACCTTTAAAAAAAAAAAAAGAAGAAACCAGAGAAGGCAGCATACAAAGCCAACATTCTCTCCCCCCAGTTCTTGCCTCCTGCTCCGGGACAGCAAGGGTCAGCGTTGTTCAGAGACCTGGATTACATAAGGCTACAAATGACGAGTACATTTTAACTCTATTACATCGCAGGGGATTGTATCTTTGAAAAACAAATATGCCCAAGAATATAAAACTTCAACATATCTGGGGGAAATTTTTTCACATCTCTTTCAACATTTAGTACACCACACAACACTGTGGGCCTCAGGAGCTACCGCTACCGAGTGGCATCCCCTGAACCCTCCCCATGCGCCAGGCACAAGACCACCTGTACTACCTGGCTTACTCTTCAAATAACCGTATGAGGCCTAGACTAGTGTTAGGCTCCATTTATAAATGGGGAAACTGAGACCTACAGTAACGGAGGAAGTCAGGCATTCAGCTCAGTTTCAAACCCTGCCTTGCCAGCCCAAGGCAGAGGCTTTTAGCCCTCTTATAGGCTCCGAGAGCGGCCAGGGAAGTACAGAGCACAGAGCGGGTGTATTCCGGACAGACATTCCCCTACCCGAGAACTGGACACAGAACGTCCTAACAGGGCCGGGGAAAGGCCCAGAACGAAAACTGCCGGCCAGGACATCCGTGGGGGAACATCTTATGAAGGTCACTGCAGGCTCCGGGCAAAGCAAAGGTCAGCCGCCGAGCGAAACCACGGGAGAAGGGCGGCGGCGGAGCGCGCGGCTTTCTGGAGGGCCCCGGGAGGCGCGGGGAAAGGGGGAGCCGGGGTCCCGGGGCACCGCTTCCCGCAGGCGTCGGGGGCTGGCAGGGACACCGCGGCGCGACACAAGGGAGACAGGGCCCCGAGGGGCGCCACGGCGCCGGCGCGGCGAAGGGCGAGCAATCGCGGACAGCGCCCGGGCCGAGACCGCGGAACGAGAACCCCCACGCCCAGCCGGCCGCGGCGCCGGGGGACCCCCGCCCGCATGCGCACTGCGGGCCGCGGCGCCGGGGGACCCCC